TCCTCCGCCCGAAATAACTGGAGCTACACCAACCTACCTTCTGGAATGGGGTTCGTGGTCGATGTTAGTTTCAGTTCGGGATAATTTGTCCGCCCATTGAACCAGTATGGAGGCCACGAAAACTTTTCGCGGCGGAGGCAGCGGATTCGGGGGACCGATATGATTTATGCGCGGGTGGCGTGAGGGGGAAGGGGGTGGGAGCACAGGCTAAAAACCCGCGGGGGGAGGCAGAGGGAGCACTGTACAGATTTTCATCAAGCAGGCATCAGCGAAGGAAAGTTAATTGAGCTTCGTGAGGAGATGTCTAAAATCGCAAACTTGCGTTCATTGGAGTCGCTTTCCCGTAGCCCGAAACCACATGTTCCTAAAAGAACAACCATCGTGTTGAACGACAATGCAGGATGTTGACCATCGGGTGAAAACGGCCGAACCGCTGTAGACGAGAGAAGTTGTAGCTCGCGTGGGGCAACCGGATGTTTACGCAAGGCAAAGGCTGATACGCCTTGATGGAGCATTGGGTGAGGGCCCCGGACTAGTGAATCTCTTGAACAAGACGTAATAGTCCTAAGTAATTGCACTGTGGTCTTGTGACGACAAGCTGACGCATAACATAGGCATAAAAGGCAAGAGTAAGAAAATCGCAATGACTAACAATTTGGTAGTGAAGTTACAAGAGCCGGCGTGCGACCGCTCATTAACGCCGGGGGACTCAAACACTTTGGGGAGTTTCGACACTTTCCCCTGAAGTGATGCAGCAATGGTAGATGCCAACTCCAACTATGTGGAGATGGAAGAACTCTGGACAAAGCGGTGAGCATACCGCGAAACTGATGTTGAGGCTGCCTACATAACCTCTGGCTGCTTTGCCGCCCTTGCCCTGAGCACCGCCGCCTGCATGACGGAAGGGATCGACAGAAAATTAGTCAACTCCCGGAGATCGTGGCATTCAAGCACGAGGTGCTCATCAGCAAAACATCGAACAGCTACGACCGAGAATTTCCCGTACCCGGGGGGTCCTTTGTGGAAGTGGGAGACGCAGACGGATTGCACCGTTGATGTGTTTAGAGGGAGCAATGGGACCTAACCCGCAGCAGTTGCCTACCTTGCTAGAAGAGACGATGACAGCTCGATTGTACCTTTGACAGATGTTGTCAAAACGCTCATACCTACGATATACCTGTCATCGTTGAGCTGCGACTTCACGTCTACCCGGTGGACTACTTCCGCGGACTTGCACAATCAGCGGACCTGGTCTGCTCAGCGTAAATACTTTAGTGCCCCGCCCTCAGTGGGGATTGCATGTGCAAAAAGGAATTGATGGATGCCGTAGCTGATCACGGCTATATCGGCTTCTACAACCACGACGGACGTTCATTCGGTCGAGGTTTAAGATAGGCGTCATGATGTTATCGGACTGGTGGCAGCGCTATGAGTGGTGGTTGACCACAGACCACGAGGAACGTCATGCGGAAGGATTGAGGCGAGGCTCGCTAGTTAGCAGCAGACGTTGGAGGTTATCGCGGGCATAGGCAGATGGAGATCATACACACACAGTACGCATATCGGATCAACCCTACAGGTTGGCATTGATTCAAAAAGCTTCTGGAAAGGACGCGAGCAGGTCGTGGTGAGCTTACGGTCTGCGAACCCCGTATCAGGGTTGGTGGGGGCGAGGATAGCATCACGATCACGCCCATCCCCTGAACGAGGTGAGGAAGACATCATCATCGATCGACGAAGGCTGTGCTCACCGGCCTAAACGTTGTCATTATCTGTTGTTCTTTGTCTTGTAGTATCAATGCACTCAAGGGGTAGGCAGACGAACCTGTGCCGTGTTGAGTAAATCTGATTGATTTAGGCTATACGTTGGAGGTCATGGTCAATGATGTTAGGTGCACATGTTTCCGCCGCTGGCGGTTTGCACAATTCAATCTCGAACGGGGAAAATTGGAATGCGAAGCCATCCAGATTTCCTGAAAATCCAAACCGCTGGGTTGGCAAAGAGCTCGCAGAATCGGACATAGAGCAATTTCGGAAGGCGTGGAAGGCGTCTGAAATCGTCGTGAGGGGGCTCGTCCACGACAATCCACCTCACCACTGTGCCTCTCCCAGCCGGATGTTCTTGAGAACTCTCGTGAACAGTTTCGTTTCAAATGAGCTTGCGGATTCCTGTTGGACTTCAGTATATCGTAACCCATCTAGGGCGCATCTCGACGCTGGAGAGACGAAGGACTGAGGTATGAGCGATAGTCTGAATAACTCTTTGAGCAAACGGCGGGTGGAAGCGTCATTATCTTGTTAGAGACAACGGCGGGGCAAGGAACGAATCTGGGATACTGCTTTGAGCACCTGCGTGAGATTATAGATGAATCGAAATATCCTGAAAGGTTGGGTGTCTGTTTCGATACCTGTCACGTCTTCGCAGCGGGATACGATTTGCGGACGGAGGATGACTATCACCAGACGTTTGATCAATTCGATCAAATTGTCGGATTGGATCGGTTGCTTGCGTTCCATCTCAACGATGCGAAATCGCAGTACGGCAGCCGGGTCGATCGCCACGAACATATCGGCGAAGGCAACATCGGGATAACACCTTTCCAACTGCTTGTCAACGACCCACGCTTTGAGAACATCCCGATGGTTATCGAAACGCCAAAGATGGAAACGATGCACGCAGCGAATCTTGCTGTGTTGAGAGGGTTGGTGAAAGATGGGTAAGATAGCAAGCAGGGAAGACGTGGGGTGTCCATAAGTGTATTTACGATTTACGCATTACGTGCCACACATCGGAGGACCTTAATATGTCCATCGGTCCTTTGGAAATTCTGATTCTGCTCATCGTTTTTCTGGGCATCCTTCTGATTTCCCGCCGTCAAACCAAGCGGATTTGCCCTCAGTGCGGTTTTGCGATCCGGTCGTATACTACTGAATGCTCCGAGTGCGGGCTGGTTTTTCCGAGGAAGGAAAAGGCGCATTCATGAAGATTACGTTTCTCGGTACGGGCACATCGCACGGTGTGCCGATGATCGCTTGTCGTTGCGCTGTCTGCCGATCAGAAGATCCTAAAAATCACCGCACCCGTCCCTCAATTGTCATTACCCTCGACAAGGGCAAAAACATCCTTGTGGATACCTCCCCCGAGCTTCGGCTTCAAGTTATTCGATGTGGCATTGACCACATCGACGCCATTCTGTTTACCCATGCCCACGCAGACCACCTACACGGGCTTGATGATGTCCGTGCCTATTCTGAGATTCAAGGTACCTCCATCCCTTGTTACGGCAATCCTGCAACCCTTGACCGTCTCAGCACTGTTTTTGAATATGCCTTTCGGCTTCAGCATCTTGGCGGCGGTATCCCGCAGTTGGAGCTTGTAACGATTGATGGTCCCTTTCAGTTATTTGGTGTTGAGTTTATTCCAGTTGATCTGCTACATGGAAAGACGGAGGTGCTCGGGTTTCGGATTGGCAATTTTGCCTATGCTACGGACTGCAACCAGATTTCACCGACCTCAATGATTTGTTGAGTGGGCTTGAAGTGCTGGTACTCGATGCTATCCGATGGGAACCACCACATCCCACCCATTTCACGATTCCAGAATCGTTGGAAATTTTGAAACAGCTCAACCCCAAACAGACCTATTTTACGCACATGACTCACGATGTGGAGCATCATTCGACGAACGCACTCCTGCCGGAAAATATTCAACTTGCCTATGACGGCTTGGTGATAGAGGTTTAAGAACGACAGAGATAGATGGAAGGTGTGCGTCAAGGATGATGCCTATTTCCGCTCGCAGGGGGAGATACATGAACCGTCATCCATTGCTAGATGTGGAACGCATTGAACAGGCACCGGACGTTTATCTCAATTCCATAGGTTCCGTCTTTGCAGCCTTTGATGAACGTAGCCAAGATTCGGGAAACATATCCTATGGGGTGCAAACCCCAGAGGGATGCTATTTTGTGAAGACAGCGGGATACCCCGATGATCCAAATCCTTTTATGAGCCACTCCGAGAGGGTTTCGCTGCTCCGAAACGCCACTCGACTTCGGCGGAGTTGCGACCATCGCACCCTGCCGCCGCTACATCAGGTGATAGAGTCGCCGAACGGTCCGCTGCTCGTCTATCAGTGGGTGGATGGCGAACTTGTCCGGGTGGATGCTGCAATACGCAACGACCCACGATCAACCTTTCAGCGTTTCCGACGGCTCCCGTCCCATGAGATAATACGCGCTCTGGATCTTGTCTATGAGTTGCACCACCAACTCGCACAGTTAGGGTGGATTGCTGTCGATTTTTACGATGGCTGCATGATCTACGACTTCGACCATCGGGATTTACAATATTGTAGACCTAGACAATTACTGTGATGCACCGTTTATAAACGAGATGGGACGGATGTTCGGTTCGTCGCGTTTCATGGCTCCTGAGGAGTTTGAACGGGGTGCACGCATTGATGAGCGTACCACAGTGTTCACTATGGGGAGAACCGCAGCTGTGCTGCTGTCGGACGGTACGTTGGAACGCCCTCCATTTCGCGGAGGTGACGCACTGTACGAGGTGGTTCGTCGCGCATGCTGCGCGGATCCGGAGAAACGATACGACTCGATGACAGCCTTTTTTGCTGCGTGGATGGACGCACTTGACCGCCAATTGCCAGAGGGAACCTCAACTGCTACGGGCACACTGTCAAGTAATTAGGGAGGTGAACAAGCAGGTGAACTGTTCTACTAACCACACTTTTAGGCTCTCGCCGGAACATCTCGCCGCCGTCAATCGGAAACGACGAATCGTCGTAAATCATCAGGTTGATGGTTTGCTGTGCGCCGTTGAACAGGGGTTGACTGTTGAGCAGATCATGCTGTATGAGTTCGCATTTGCCGATTGCGCCGGGCAATCACATTGACGCGCAGTGGTGGTCATTCGATAATACCTTCCCACTAGAGGGACGACCCCTAATAGACGAGACAAGTCCATCAGTGCCGGGCTACGTGAGTCCAGAACGCGTCAAGATCTTCCAGCAATGGTTAGATGACGGTATCAACATCGCTGAAGTTTACATCGAGGAAACGAAAGAAACGGGGTCTCGAATGCTTCTATACCTATCGGCTCAACGAAGATCCATATACCGAGCATCGTGAATTGGCAGAAGCGCATCCCGACTGGCTAATCACAGGCGAGTGGGCGCAGCCGCTCTGGAACTTTGCCGTGCCGGGTGTACGCGATTACAAGGTCGCTATCTGCCGAGAATTGATAGAGGCATACAACTTTGATGGCTTGGAGATCGATTTTGCACGCGGTCCTATCCAAACACCCCCAGGCCGTCAATGGGAGCAGCGTGAGCATATCACGGAATTTCTTCGTCGGGTTCGGCAGGAGACGCTCGAGATAGAGCAAAAACGTGGACGACCTATTCTGTTGGCGGTGCGCATCCCAGATAATCTCATCGGTTGTCATTTCGACGGAATTGACGTAGAAACGTGGGTACGCGAGCACCTCGTTGATTTTCTGGTCTTAGGTGTGCGTTCGTATGAGTTGGCTATCGATCAGTTTCGCACCATTATTGGCGACAAGCCGATTCAGATCCTTGGAACGCTCGACGACCACCATTGCACGGATGGCTATTCTTGGCCCCCGATCGAGGTGTGGCGGGGAGTTGTTGCTAACTGGTGGCAGCAGGGGATGGACACGATTCAGACCTTCAATTGGGGTGTTGCACCGCCCGAAGTTGCTCAGCAATTGAAGGTTAAGACACATGGTGCCTACTTTGATGGCACACGGATGATTCCTGTGTATCAGCAGGCATACAGCGAACTTGGCGATTCAGAAAAACTGAAATATTTGAACAAACACTTCGTCGTCCAGCGTCGCGGTGGCGGCGGATCCGGTGGAGCTAATGTCGATGAGTGGCACACCCCGCGGTTCAATTACCAAAACACGAACATGCTGGGTCAACTGCCTATGACCTTGGATAACTTGGGGTTGGTTGATGCGTTGATTAGGCTTCGCGTCTCCGACGATTTCACCGCTGAAGCGGAACGGATCGAGCGATTGACCCTTCGCATCCTGTTTTCTGACCCGGGCACAGAAAATCTGCCGGAGGGTCAGAAAATTGACGCTGTGTCCATCAATCCCTTCTGGGATCGGCCTCAGTTGTTCACCTCACCGATGCGAAAGGATATGATTGACCGGCTCGAAGTGCGTCTTAACGGTATCGCTGTTGGACGGTGGGATTGTCGATGCCGGTTGGTTTATCTTTGACACAAATCCGAAGCTATTTGCGGTGGGCATTAACTTGGTCAGCATCCGAGTTACGGGGCGGGATTCACAAGAGGCAGTCGTGACTGTGGAAAAAGTTGAAGCACATGTGGAATATCGGTGTCGCTGAAATCCCATGACCGTCCACCCTAGTATAACGCAAGTTGCTAGTTGAAAAACACCGTTAAAAAATTCTCGGAATTTTCATAGTTTTCATAGTTTTCTGAGGAATTTGATAAAGATAAAAAATGGGGAAACCCAAGCTATGACTCGTTTCTGTGCAATTTATACGGGAAAGCTACTCGGACATACTATGAAATCCATGTCGTTTCCTATCTCTGACGCTTGACGGATTAAAGTGGCAACTTGCGTTAGTATAATTGAGGAAGGTTAGGATTTCGTTTTAACTCCCCGGAGGACGGATTCGTCACGCCACGGCGGGATGCGCGCTTCTAGCGTTTTCGTTTCCAGAGCCAACCCGGAGCAGTTGGACGCTAGTACCTCAAAGATCTTATTCGCCACGATGCGGTGACCGAGGTCGTTTGCGTGTACACCGTCATGGTGGACGAGCCAATCCGCGTCGCGGTATGACCTCAGTAGGTCGACGAAAAGGCAGTCACACGCATCCGCGACCCCTTTAATTGCATCGTTGTAGCGATAGAACAAATCGAGGTCGGCGTGACTCCAGCGTTCACCACCGACGGTAAAGTCGGTCATGTAGTACGGACCGGGCAAGACGATTAACGGCTGAATTTGCTCACGGACGCGCCGGACGATGTCGCGCATCTCGTCACAAAAGAGGTCAATGGTGTACCACCGCGTGCGTCATTGAGTCCATACGAAATAACCAGCAGATCCGGTGCGTTTTCAATAACGTGTCTGTCGATGCGCTCGTTTGCCGCAGGATTTCGGTCGGATTCGAGATAGGCAGGACCCTTGGTCGAGATTAGGTTAGCACCAATTCCCACGTTGACCAACTCCACAGGGACACGCTGAAACTCGTTGATTAACCGTGCTAATTGATTTGCCCAACATCGCTCGCGAATACTGGACCAACCGCCGGCGGTCGTACTCTCTCCAATGGTAACTAGCTTTTGAAACTCTTTGGTCCACCAATCCTTTTTCATCGCTGTATATCCTCCCAAAAATAAGCTGATGTCTTGTCTATTTCTCCCCTAATCAGTTACACAATAATCCGTCCGTCAACCAGATGGGGAACAACGTCAACAAGGTCCATTTGGGCGCAAAATTCGAGATCCTCTCCTAGTCCAATGCTGGCGAGGGATCGACCGTGATAGCAATTCTTTAGCATCCCAAGCAGATCCTCACAATGTTCCTGATAAAGGATCTTTGCTGCTTCAGCGGCATCGGTCAGTTGAGTCTCCGCTAATGCTGCCACACATGCACCTGCGAAAACAGTATCTTCCGTGCAGAAACCGCCCTCTCTGCCAGAACATGCAAAGACAAGTTCCCCTTCTGCTTGAGCCAACCGGTTGACAATTGCGCGGAGATTGAGGAAGGATCCGACGAGAACCCGTTCAGCAGCACGACAGGCTTGTAGGGTGCGTGTTCCGTTCGTCGTTGTCAAGACGATTTGCCACCCTGAAACAACCGTTTCGGTATATTCACGCGGTGAATTCCCAAGATCAAACCCATCAACTTTCATCCCACCACGCTCACCGCCGATCAGTGTGTTCGGTTGATCTGCAGCAAGACGAAAGGCATCGTCTGGGGTCAGGACAGGCGTGATGGCTGTCGCGCCGTTTGCCACAGCGAAGGTGATGGTGGTTGTCGCACGCAAAATATCGGCGACGACAACCGTTTTGCCGGTGAGGTCGGAAAAGGGGAGGAGATCTGGGGTAAAAACAACGTCAATGGAAGCAGGCATGGATATACTCGTGACGGAGTTGGATGGTAGCACTACAGTTTGGGGTGAGCGGATGTAAAATGTTAAGCACCTGAAACGTGATGCGTGAAACGTAATTATGGTGAATTCTATAATAACTTATACACTTTCGATGCACAACCAACCCCCTCTGATAAGAGGGGAAAGACAAAGGAGAAGATCCCCTCTTATCTTCTCCCCTTGTCAAGGGAGTTGCAGGGGGACTTCATGAGGCTTCGCTAAGGGAAGCTACTGGTGAACGTCCACATATTTATATCGTTCACCATAGTTCACTGGTGCCTGATCTGCGGGGCTCGAACAAAAACTCGGTTTCTGTTGCACGATTTCTTAACATGAGCCAACGGGTTTTACCAAGCGAATCCCGAATCCAGAAAGTTGGTAAAGACCTGTGCGTTCAGAAAGCGTTCATCGTCCATAATCTTTCTGTGAGAGTGGGATGACTGTCTTAACGCCTTCAATGGTAAATTCATCCAAAGCCCGCCTCATAGCGCGCAATCGCTTCCTCTCGATCTCTACCGTGGGCAATCAGTTTTGCGACCAAGGAATCGTAATAGGGCGGCACAACGTAGCCGGGATAGAGGTAACCATCTACGCGGATGCCAATTCCCCCCGGCGGCAGATATGCTTCAACCTTCCCGGGGAAAGGGGTGAGACCGTTATCGGGATCTTCTGCATTAATCCGGCACTCGATGGCATGTCCGTTCACCTCCACGTCCGATTGACCATATCCGAGTTCTTCACCCCATGCTAGCCGGATCTGTTCCTTGAGCAGATCAATTCCCGTGGTCATCTCTGTCACCGTATGCTCGACTTGGATGCGTGTGTTCATCTCCAAGAAGTAAAATTCCTCATCGGGTCTACGACGAACTCAATAGTCCCGACATTATTATAGCCAATCGATTTCGCTGCTTTAGCAGCAGTCTTGCAGATTTCATGTCGTGTCTTCGATGATAAGGACGAAGCGGGAGCTTCCTCAACTACTTTTGATGCTTGTGTTGGATGGAACATTCCCGTTCACCGAGATGGATGACGTTCCCGTGATTGTCCCCCAAAATCTGGACTTCAATGTGGCGGGCATTTTCAATCCACTTTTCAACGTAAACTTCGGTGCTGCCAAACGCAGACTGTGCCTCTGCTTTGACCGTGTGGAAGAAGTCCATCAAACTGGTGCTGTCATACGCGATTCGGATGCCACGTCCACCGCCGCCAGCGACCGCTTTGATGCCTACCGGATAGCCAATTTTTTCTGCGATTTCGACCGCTTCCTCAGCGTTTTCCACCAAACCTTTTCTGACATTCCGCCGAAGCCGCCGACGGATGCTGCCGCTTCCCGGCACCAACCTAAGCCCCGCTTTCGACATTGTTTCCCGTGCTTCCGCCTTGTCGCCCATTGTTCTCAAGTTTTCTGCCGTCGGACCGATGAAGGTGACCTCATGGGCTTCGCAGATTTCGGCAAATTGTGCATCCTCGGATAAAAACCCTGCGCCGGGATGGATGGCATCGGTGTCCGTCAACTCAGCGACGGTAATGATGTTCGGGGGTCTGAGATAGCTTTCCGTTGAAGCGGGTGGTCCGATACAGTAGGCTTCATCTGCATATTTGACGTGCAGTGAATCCTTGTCGGCGGTTGAATAGACAGCAACGGTCTTGATACCCATGTCCCGGCAGGCACGGATAACCCTAAGCGCGATTTCACCACGATTTGCAATTAAGATTTTCTTAAACATTTTTTGAACCTCTGAAAGTTAGCGGTTCATCCCTGAATCGAAAAAAGTGTGCAGGTGTGAAAGTGAGGCTTCTTCGCACCTGCACACCTGTTCACTTTCTCACTTTCATCAAAATCTTCGTAGTAAAGACCTCATTCTTCAGGGTGGGGTAACTGACTCTTCCTTATCCCATTCCTAACAAGTTACCGATCACGTCACCGTATTTCGCAATTAATCCCGCGAATACCACCGATACCATTGACATGAGTTTGATGAGGATATTGAGCGATGGACCTGATGTGTCCTTGAACGGATCGCCGACGGTATCACCGACGATGGTTGCGTTGTGGTTGTCAGAACCTTTACCACCGTATTCTCCACCCTCAATGTATTTCTTTGCGTTGTCCCACGCACCGCCGGCGTTTGCCATCATCACTGCAAGCACGAAGCCGGTCGCCAAACCACCGGCGAGCAAACCGAGAACGCCTGCAACGTTGAAGACCAAGCCAACGATCACCGGGACGATGATAGCAATCAGCGATGGAAGAATCATCTCTCTTTGCGCTCCCGCGGTCGAGATTGCGACGCATCTAGCGTAGTCCGGTTTTTCTTCACGCTTCATGATGCCGGGCCGCTCGCGAAATTGACGACGCACCTCTTGCACCATCGCACCGGCGGCACGCCCCACCGCTTTCATCGTTAAAGCGCAGAAGTAAAATGCCATAGCCGAGCCAATAAATAGGCCGATCAACACTTTCGGGTTCATTAGGGTTACATTGTAGTAAGACATGAACTGGGTAATGCTGACCTTGACGGTATCGACCATACCTTCGCCGGGTATGTCCAGTTGAGTCTTGTCCGCCATGTGGATAAGCCCATATCGAACCTCCTCAAGATAGGCAGCGAGGAGGGCGAGAGCGGTCAATGCAGCAGATCCGATGGCGAAGCCTTTCCCGGTTGCTGCGGTCGTATTTCCAAGTGCGTCCAATTGGTCTGTGCGCTGACGGACATTCGGATCGAGTTCAGACATTTGGGCATTAGCACCTGCGTTGTCTGCGATTGGTCCATACGCGTCGGTTGCTAGCGTGATACCAAGCGTTGCGAGCATACCCACCGCAGCGATACCGACCCCGTAGAGCCCCATCAACGTATCTGTGGCTCCACCCGGCAGATAGAAACTGACAGCAACGGCAACGATAATTGTTAGCACAGGGATAGCGGTGGATTCCATGACCACAGCAATGCCTTCAATGATAACCGTCGCGGGTCCTGTCTCAGCTTGCCTGGCGATGCCGCGTGTGGGTTCATAATCGTGGGAGGTAAAGATTTCTGTGACCTTGCCGATAATCAGACCGGCAGCTAGACCCGCCACAATGGCACCCCAAATCTGCCACCTGTTCGGGAGGTCAAGAATCCACAACACAGGAATCGAGCAGATAGCGATACCGATTGCACTTCCGTTGATGCCTAGGTTGAGCGAACCCATCAACTGCCGCATCGTGGCACCCTCTTTCGTGCGAACCATGTAAATCCCTAGGATCGAGAGGATTACACCAATCCCCGCAATAATCATCGGTGCTGAGAGATACTTCAATTGAAGCGCGATGTTACCGTGGTCCTTCGCCGCAACTGCTGCGACACCGAGTGCAGCGGTGGCGAGGATTGAACCCGCATAAGACTCGTACAAGTCGGCACCCATACCGGCAACATCCCCTACATTATCGCCGACGTTATCCGCGATCACGGCGGGGTTACGCGGATCATCTTCAGGAATACCGGCTTCCACTTTTCCTACGAGATCGGCACCGACATCAGCGGCTTTGGTGTAGATACCACCGCCGACACGGGCAAAGAGTGCCTGCGTCGAGGCACCCATACCGAAACTCAGCATGATTACAGTGATTTGGGGCAGCGGATTGGTGCCCAAGAAGCCCGGAAAAATCTTCGGAAAAAGGTAGTAAAGGATCAGAAACCAACCGGCGATGTCCAATAGTGCGAAGCCGACAACCACCAACCCCATCACTGCACCGGCGCGGAAAGCGATTCGCAAGCCTGAGTTGAGCCCCTCCATCGCTGCACATGTTGTGCGAGCCGATGCGTTTGTTGCTGTCTTCATGCCAAGGAAACCACAAAGCCCTGAGAAAAATCCGCCTGTCAAAAACGCAAAGGGCACCACCTTGTTTTGGGCGTTCAGCCCGAAAGCCATGATGAGGAAGATAACGCATAGCACAACAAAAACAATCCCTACTACTTTATACTGCTGTCTCAGATAAGCCATCGCTCCTTCACGGACAGCCTGGGCGATCTCACGCATCACCTCTGTGCCTTCACTCTGCTTCATGACCGATTTATAGAAGACAAATGCGAACCCCAAAGCGAACAATGAGCTAATTGGGATAAGCCACCACGCGGTGGGTAAGGGTGGAAGGGATTCTGATTGTGCAAAGGCAGAATTTGCGACTGCCATTCCCATCCATGAAGTGAGAAATATTAAACATCCACGGCTCCTTCCGCGGAGCCAGTTGAAAACTGTTTCAAGCATAAAACATCTCCTTTACCTAATCTTGTGGGCAAGGCACCTTCTCTTTAGGGAGGTGATGTAGCCCACCCAAGTGTGTTGTTCAACCAAAAAAGGTTGAATTTGTAAGTCAAATAGGGTACAATTATTTTCAGAGACGGACGCACTACCGAAAATGGTTAGCAGGGGTAAAATCCGCAATTGTTTTCCCATGGTCCGACGGGAGCGTGTTGTGGTGTTTCTGTACGACTGTTAGGAGTCTCCTAACAGTCTTTCTCATCAGTGTCCCCATTAGGGGAGTGGGCAGGGCGTTGTCCACTGGAGTAGGCACCGTAAGACGGAGTTCGCCTCGCAAGTGTTGTTGATACCACAATTCGACTCCTTAAAGGAACGGGTGAGAATCCCCAACCCTTTAGGGTGTGGGAGTACGTCAAAAACGTAGGGAACGCAGATCTGCGCTCCCTACAATAGGTTCTTTGGGTACTGGTCAACTTACGTTTCATTTATACCAAGTACTTTCATCGCCTCTCCAACAATATAGATGGAGCCTGCGACGCATATAAGATCTGAGGTCGTGGCAATTGATTGTGCCAACGGTATCGCCTCACGGACGCTTGGGCAGACATGGAGAATCGTCCCGGTTTCTGACCATGCCTGTGCAATCTCTTTGGCAGGCATGACACGAGGGTTATCAAACGCCTGCGTTGCAATAATTTCATCTGCAAACGGACACAAGACCTGACCAATAGCTTGCAGGTCTTTGTCTCGCATCAAGCCCACAACAAGAATCAAACGGCGGTAACGAAAGACCTCACGGATGGCTTTGCACAACGCCTCCGCTGAAGTTGGAGAATGTGCGCCATCCAGCAAGATAACCGGCGATTGTCCGACGACCTGCATCCGTCCCGCCCAACGCACCTCTTTCAGACCGCCATAGATACTGGTTCGGGGAACCGTGTATCCTTCCTGACGTATACGCTCAATACAAGCGATGGCAGTTGCTGCATTAATCGCCTGATGTTCACCGAGCAACGGCAAAAACAGGTCCGGATAAAACGCCGATTGTGTTGTCAGATCAAACGCCTGACCATTGATACTCCAGTCCTTACGCTTCAAGTGAATATCGCGCCAACCTCATCCATCGGTGCATCCCGATCTGCAGCGACAGTTTCAAACACCGCCCGCGCTTCAGAGAGTTGTGGTGGCTAATACGACCGGACGGTTCGGTTTTATAATCTCCGCTTTTTCTTTCGCTATCGCTTCGTGCGTATCTCCAAGTATCGCTGTATGTTCCAAACTAATCGGTGTGATAACGCTCACAAGCGGATCTACCACATTTGTTGCATCTAGCCGTCCCGCCAAGTCCTACTTCAATAACCGCAAAATCAACCGCATTGTCCGCGAAGTAGGTGAAGGCAAGGGCTGTATAAATCTCAAAAAATGAAACACGCCCAATTGATTCCAATTCCGCCATCGCTTCAATTGACGGCTTGAGTTGGTCAACGTATCCCGCAAATTCCCCTTCTGAAATAAGCCGAGAATTAATGCGGCACCGTTCACGCGGAGTTATCAGGTGGGGTTGTGTAAACAAGCCAGTTTTGTAACCCGCATGAGTCAGGATTGAGGCGATCAGTGCTGCCGTTGACCCTTTCCCTTTGCTGCCGGCGACATGAACCACCTTCAAGCGACGGTGTGGATTCCCCAACTTCGCTAGCAGGCGAGAGATACGTTCAAGGTTATAGAAGCGTGCCTGCCTAGAGAAGTCAGGGCTTTTCTCGGAGTTAATGAATGTATCAATATAGGCGAGAGCGGCTTTGTAATCCAATTTTGGTTCATGTCCATAGATTCAGATCTTCGTAGATTGGAAATTGTCCACAAAGATCGCTAACTTTCTCCCTCACACCCCGCTTAGTTCCTGCACTTCTGCGCCCCTCAAGGGTTTCCGTTATCAAATCCGCGATCAGCTGCATCTCTCCCTCTTTCATGCCGCGCCCTGTTATCATCGGTGTTCCAAGGCGGATACCACTCGTTGTGGTCGCAGATCGTTTATCCGACGGAATGGTATTTTTGTTGACAATGATTCCCGCGTTTTCAAGGTGATCTGCGGCTTGTCGTCCACTCAACTGCTTGTATGTTGCAGTTAAATCAATTAGCATGAGGTGGTTGTCCGTGCCGCCGCTTACCAAGCGAAATCCGTTGCCTATGAGTGCTTCCGCGAGTGCTTTGGCATTCTTCACAACTTGGCTCTGATACGTTTTGAAGGCAGGTTCCATCGCTTCTTTGAAGGCAACCGCTTTCGCCGCGATTGTGTGCATAAAGGGACCGCCTTGTATCCCCGGAAATACCGCGCGATCAACCGCTTCCGCCAATTCATCCCGACACATCACAATTGCGCCACGCGGGCCCCGCAAGGTCTTGTGGGTTGTCGTAGTAATCACGTCACAATAAGGCACTGGATCCGGATGTACATCTGCGGCAATGAGACCCGCAGTATGGGCGATGTCCGCCATCAGATACGCCCCGACGGAATCGGCAACTTCGCGCCACTGAGCAAAATCGAACCAGCGTGGATAAGCACTACCGCCCACAATAATTAGCTTGGGTTGATGCGCTTTCGCAAGTTCGGCTATCATATTGATATCGATCTGTTCCGTCTCCGGGTCAACACCGTAGGATACTATATTATAATATTGGCCTGAGAAATTCTGGGGAAGCCCATGACTCAGATGACCGCCGTGATCCAGCCTCATCGACAGAATTGTATCGCCCCGCTCAAGCAGTGCTTGGTACGCTGCCATATTGGCTAAGTTTCCAGCGTGCGGTTGGACGTTGACATGATCAACACCGAAAAGCTGCTTCGCACGCTCAATCGCGAGGCTTTCCACACCATCTGCGGCTGCACAGCCGTTGTAGTAACGGGCACCGGGCGTCCCTTCGGCGTATTTACTGGTCAGGACACTCGCCTGCATCTGCATAACCGCTCGACTTACATAATTTTCTGAAGGGATCAGTGTCAAACAATTTTGCAGCCGGTCCAGATCTTGAAGCATGATCTGGACGATCTGTGGGTCAACTTCACTCAATGATCTGTTCATTATGCGGTTATCCTCAATATTTCTATATCCTCGTCGTATGAAGTAAGTTTTAGAGCTTAGGTTTCTGTATTTATTGATTTCATAAAGCGGGCTTCAGGCGGCTGCGCTATTCAACTCGCTTAAGAAGTTTTTCAGTTTTGGCTTTGAGGCTCTTATTACCCGTCTGTTCCGCGAGTTCCAGTGCAATGTTCCAATCTTTCTTTGCCGCCCAAGTGCGGTCCAACAAGTAATTCGCAATACCCCGTCTGAGGTAGGCGAAGGCGTAGTCGGGTTTGAAACGGATTGCTTTGTCATAGTCTTGGATGGCGATGAAGTGTTCGCCTAGGTCGCCCCTTATCGTTCCCCGAAAATAGTAGGCGAAAGTAAAATCGCTTTTGAGGTTGATAGCGGTGTCGTAATCTTCGATCGCCTCCTTGTACTGACCCAACGATCGCTTCACAGTTCCCCGGAAGTAGTAGGCAGAGGCGAAATCGGGTTTGAGGTTGATAGCGGCATTATAATCATCAATGGCAGCCTGATATTGATCTAATCTGTACTTGGCATAGCCCCACCTGAGATGCGTTTCGGCGGATATGGATTGTTTGCCCTGCCACAAAGGTTTCGTCTTCCCTGACTCGAGCGAGCAATTCCTTGAGATCGTTTGATGGAACGGCGAAATTGAGATTCTGGCCATCTTCAAGTGTTATAAGAGAGGTCCCGATGACTTCGCCATTTCCGTTTAGTACGGGTCCTCCGCTGCTTCCGGGAGAGATTAGAGCAGTCATCTGGAACCGTTTTTTGGCATCCCCTTCGTGAAGATTACTGATAGTGTCGTTTGAGAATTTGCCTTCCAACCCTTTGGGATTACCTGCGACGTAGACTGTCTCGCCAATTTTTGCTGTATCGCTATCGCCGAGGAGAAGGGGTTCACCCTCAAACCCCGTAACCTTTAGGATGGCAAGGTCGTTTTCCGCATCAGTTGCGGATATGCCATCAACGGTATATTTCGTGGGGCTACCAGCTAATTTCGCTGTACCTTTCGCTGCTCCTTCAACAATATGAAAGTTGGTTGCAATCTGGCTTTGTCCGACGAAGAAACCGCTGCCAAATCCGAGGGTGTTGCCATCCTTATCTGCCATCTCTAAATACACTGTGGCTGCTAACGCTTTTTCGGCAAACTGTTCATCGGTCTGGGCAGACGCCGCAGCGGTGATGAAAAATAAAAGAAGTCCCAAAGTTGTGAAGCGTAGTAACGCTTTTCTCGGATTTCTCATAACAGTATCGTTCATCATCTGTTGGGTGATAATATCCATGAAGTAGTTCGCACAACTTGCAATTTCAGGAATTTCAGATTGTAACACAGATATTAGGTAGTTTCAAGAGAAATCATTGTACAAAGCATCGGTATAAACTTGTGCCTGCGTCTCGTTTCCTCGTTTGAACTTGCCATAGGGTATTCGCTTTTAGCATCTTTCGTCAGTCTATTTTTAAGGTTAGAAATGCGTTGACGGAAAATTCGAGAGGGTTTATAATATTGTGGCAAATTTGGCGCGATCCTTATCGTTGAAGACCGTTGACGATTGTGCGTCATGTTTGTGACCATCTCGCTGACACCGATGCAGCGGTCTGTTACAGAAATGGTACGCCGAACACGCGCAAGAAATACGCCGAGACGGGGGTTAAGGTTTTCCTTGAGGGTCCGAGGCGTTAAAAGGATACTATTTGGTTTGTTATGTTGACTTATTCTCTCGTTAGCAATGTAATCACTGGAGATCGAAGCACGTTGAGGCAAGGGATGCGCCGCCTCGCCGAAGTTGCCCATAAACATGGCATTCCCATTACATGGGGGGTTGGGGCGACCTCTGCACGGTCCTTCGCTGCAGATTTAACCGAATGGAACGCCTCCCACGGTGACGAAGTAATGCTGATGGTTGACGTTGCACCAATTTGGGGATCGGGAACAGATTCCGACGACTTGAGCCAATCCGCGGAGCATATCGTGACAATGCGCGAAAAGCTGCCGGATTTATCTCGTCGGAAAAAGATCGAGTCCAAAGGGCAATCGAATGGGCGAATCCTGTTGTCGCAGGGGCGGGGCAGAAAAATCATGTACTACTTTACGCCTTAGCACAGGTCGGTTTTGCCGGATTGTGGGGGTATGGTGGGGAGATGGAGGCGGATGAGGGGTGTCCATTTGGGTGCTTCTTTCCGTCGGTAGATCGGCACAATTTCTGTGGCACCTCCACAAGCCGAATTGTCGGCATCCCGGACACCTCCCTCCTCCCCACTCAGACACCTCTTGGGTCTGAAGAAACAGAGGACGCCGATTTTCAAAGCCAAATCTTGAACGGAACGGCGCAGCAGGGGTTCAATTGTTATGCGGCAAACGCAGAGTGGAATCGTTGGTTGGCTTATATCCAGCGGATTGATGCTGTGGAGGTCGCATCGTTGACATCGGAACAACTCGATCAGTTGGATACATATTTGGCGTATGTGCGCGAGGCACCGGAGACGCAGATTATGTCACTTCCCGATGCTGTTCGTGCCTGCCAAGAGATCGGCGAACAGACGCAGCCAACCTTTCTGCTCACCGATTCCAAGTCAGAAGGCGAGGATGAAGCGTCAACCGCTTCGGACAAATCAACCTTCTCCTATTACGATGCTGAATGTCAGTTGGTCTTTGAAGAAGGCAAGATAGAACCGATTTGGGTGACAAACTACATCTCGCCGCCGGTTAGCTCACGTAACGGTGCGGAGGTCAACCTACCGCAAATTGAACAGTTTCGTCCCTCTCGCTCGCGCAGCCAATTGCGGATGCAGTTTACCTTAGAATCCACGAAAGCGATGCCGTATGGGTTAGCCGTCTGGGGGAATCACGCTGGACTCACGTTGGCAACCTCAAATGCACAGGAAGTAACGTGGTTAGGCGATCGGTTGTTATTTGTACGGGTCAGCCTACAAGTAGGAAAAAACGATGTCGAGGTTGTTTTAACAATCTAATCAAAGGTTTGAAAAAATAGTCATGGATGCCTGCCAAACGGTTAAAGCCTACTTTGACGCACTCATCACAGGAGACACAGACCGGCTCATCAAAATGATGTCTTTGGCTGATCACTATGTGAAGATTGGTACGGAGCCAGATGAGCATATTGAAGGCGGTGAAAACGCGAGAGATTACTATCAGCAAATTATCGCGAATGCAGCAGATATTGCGATTGAGTACGAAAATCTTGATATTCAGGAGCGGGGGACATGTGGCGTGGTTCTACACACGACAGATATGGCGGCTCAAGTGGCTGGGTAATCCCGAAGAGTTGGCAGTGCGGTTGACAGGTGTACTCGAAAAAGAGGACGGGACATGGAAGTTTGTTCAGATTCACGCTTCCGTCGGCGTTCCTGCATAGCGGCAACGTGGAAAACCGGCGTACTGTCAGACAAATTCTTGGCTGATACGTTCAATCTCTCAGACTACTTTTTCTGTTAATCAAGGGTGAAGTTTTATGATGGTTTGGGGATTCTAAAAAGGAAATGTTTATGTCTAAAAAAATCTACGCCTACGGAATGGATGGCTTTATCGTTCCGATGATGAAAAAATTTGTTGCTGAAGGGTGTTTGCCGAACTTTGAAAGGATGCTCAAAAATGGTACGGTGAACCAAACCTTTCCGTCCTTCCCTGTCTGGACGCCGACGAATTGGGCGACCCTTTCTACCGGTGCTCACACGGGGACACATGGTGTCACCCGTTGGCGTGTGGAGGTTGCCCCCGGTGAACGGATCGACAGTTTCGATGGACGTGCCCCGAATGCGGAGCGGATCTGGAACGCCCTAGAACGTGCCGGCAAAACAAGCGTTGCGGTCCATTACCCAGCAGCCCATCCATCGGGCATCAAATCCGGTTTCGTCGTGGACGGTTTTGGTCATCCCGGACACGCCAGCACCGGCTACGAAGTGGCGTCCTGTCAAGCCTACACGACGAGCGATGAGGTTGCTACCGTCGAGATGGACCATGATGGAACGGCTGTCCGCCGGACACAACGCAGCGTTCAACCGATTCCAGCCTTGCGTCCCGCCGTCGGTTGGGAGAACCTTCCACCGAGCCAGTCACCACCCCTTGAGTCCATAATCGAAATCCATGCGCGTCTCGGCGGCGATGTCAACACCTTTCATCTCCTTGTGGTTGGCAGTCGTGGGAAAGGATATGATTGTGTACAGATCTGCCGGGAGAAGGATGGGAATACACAAATTGCTGAGACAGTGGTCGGTCAATGGAGCGATTGGGCAATTGACCCCTTCCAGATCGATGGTCAAAAGCAGGATGCGTCGATTCGGTTTAAGCTGATGGAACTCACGCCCGACGGGAAAAATCTGAAACTTTACCGTTCACAGGTCACCTACGCCAACGGATTCACCTACCCGGATGACCTCGCAGCGGAGCTAATAGAACGTTTTGGTCCCTATCAGGAGCACGCCTCTATGACGCCTTATACGTCGGGCATGGCGGATTTTGATACCGCCCTTGAGGAGTGCGAATATCAGGGCATCTGGTTCGCTGAAGTCGCCAACTACATGCTGCGTGAGCATGGGTGTTCCTTCTTTATTTGCCATTGGCATCTCTTCGACTATCTGAACCACATCCACCTCAACGATGTAGATCCTGTCTGTCCGGGCTACGACCCAAACAATGCAGATACAGCGATGGACTACTTCCGTCGGGCATATCAGGTCGGCGACCGGGTTTTGGGACGCATCTGGGAGGCTGCTGACGATGAGACTTGCGTCGGTGTCCTCGGTGACCATGGGGCTTACCCCGACATTCGGATTGCCAACATCCGCAAGTTCCTCGTCGATCAGGGGTTCACCGTACTTAAAGACGGTGCGGAAGGCGTCGAGCGCGATGAGGTCCTGGAGAAGGATATAGATTGGGAAAAGACCCGTGCCTATCTCAAGGACGACAAAGGTTTTGACATCTACATCAACGCTGAACCGGGACCGGCTTTCGACGAAATTGAGCGTGAACTGCTGTTGGCACTCCGCACTTGGGTTGATGAAGGGGTTGGACGAACACCCATCGCCATTGCGCTGCCGAAACGTGATGCCTACCTCCTCGGTCAGTGGGGCGATCAGTGCGGTGATGTCATCTTTGCATGGGACCACGGCTACGTCAGTGGCTACTACGGTCAGTGGAAAGGGATTATCGGTGGCGGAGCGGTCGGTGCGCCCGAAGTGTATGGCGCACATCATGGTGGCTTCCTCCCCACCCGAAACGAGGACATCTCCTCTAGCTTTGGAACATTTTTATTGGCTGGACCGGGAATTAAAAAGGGGTATGAGCGTGATTATGATTCACACGGTTACATCCACGCCGCTGATGTTGTTCCCACATTTTGTCATATTCTCGGCACCGCTCCACCGGCACAAAGTCAGGGCACAATTGCCTACGATCTGCTTGAAGGAAACGAGATGGCGCGAGAGCGAGATGCAAACTGAATATGTGTAGAAAATTTGTAGATATTTAGAAATAGGGAATTTTTTTTGACAATATACTTGTGATATGATAACATCTTGTTTAATAATTTTCCTTCCTGATGCTTTGTGCCTATCTATTCTTCAAGATTTAACATCTTTGGTTCACCTAATTACATTATTAAGGAGGCACTCCCAATGGACACAAAAATTTCCGATGCAATGCCACCCAAATTTTCCAAGGTAGCACTGACATTTGATGATGTTTCATTAATTCCTGGTGAATCAAACGTTCTGCCAAATGCGGTTGATACAAGCACGCAGCTGACCCGTCGTATTCGCCTCAATATTCCGATTTGCAGTGCCTCAATGGATACTGTTACGGAATCGGAACTTGCAATTGCTCTAGCGCGAGAGGGCGGTATTGGTATAATCCATTACAATTGCTCGATTGAGACGCAGGTGAATGAAGTTGATCAGGTCAAACGCTCAGAAAGCGGAATGATTATCGATCCGATTACCTTGACCCCCGATAAGAAGGTTCGTGATGCGCTGGAGTTGACAGCACGTTACCGCATCGGTGGTATCCCGATTGTGACCAAAGAAGGTTACCTCGTTGGGTTAATCACCAATCGTGATCTGAAATATGAGGAAGATGCGGATCTGCCTGTGACTGAACTGATGACACCAAGTGAACAGTTGGTCACTGCCTCGCCTGGGATTGAACTGGAGAAAGCGAAACAGATTCTGCACCAAATTCGGAAGGAAAAGCTCCCAATCGTTGATGAGGAGTTTCGCCTGTGCGGGCTTATCACAATCAAAGATATTGACAAGGTAGAGAAATATCCTCTGGCATGCAAGGATAAGTCTGGGAGACTGAGAGTTGGCGCAGCGATTAGCCCTTCTTGGGATTTGGAAAAAGTGGGACTTCTGGTTGATGCAGAGGTTGACGTCTTGTCGATAGATACCGCGCACGGTCATCATCGGAATGTAATGAAGGCAGTGCATCAGATTAAGGCGGAATTCCCCGATGTGGAACTGATTGCCGGGAATGTTGTAACCGCCGAAGCAACGCGTCAGTTGATTGATGCAGGTGTTGATGCTGTAAAGGTAGGCATGGGACCCGGATCAATCTGTACGACCCGTGTTGTCACAGGAATAGGGATTCCGCAGATTACGGCGGCTTACGATTGTGCGCAAGAGGCGGATAAAAACGGCGTTCCGGTTATCGCTGATGGTGGTATTCGGTATTCCGGTGATATTGCGAAGGCGATTGGTGCGGGTGCAAGTTCGGTGATGATAGGGAGTTTGCTTGCAGGTACGGAGGAAAGTCCCGGCGAAACGGTTATCTATCAAGGGCGCACCTATAAAATCCATAGGGGTATGGGTTCTTTATCCGCTATGAAGGAACGCCGTGGTAGCGAGCGATACTCTCAAAGTAGTGAATCTTTAGCAAAGTTGGTGCCTGAAGGCATCGAAGGACGGGTGCCTTACAAGGGTCGGTTGGGCGATTTTGCCTATCAGCTTGTCGGTGGTCTCCGCGCCGCGATGGGATATTGCGGTACACCGGACATTGCGTCATTGCGGACTGAAAGCCGGTTTGTTCGGATGCAGAGTAGCGGTCATCGCGAAAGTCACCCGCATGATATTGCGATTACAGAGGAAGCTCCCAATTATAGTGTAATGATGTGAAACCGTGAGTCAGTGTTTGAGGATTTAACGGAAGGCGGATGGCATTTGAGAATGACTTTCCTATAATCAAGGATGATGTTATCAGAATCCTTGCAGACAACTTCATCGACATCGACAAAGATGTGATATGGGCAGATTTGAATTATGAATACCTTTTCAGAAAAGACATTGATTCACCCTAGCACACATGACTGCAAACCAACCTTATCAGACACAGAGGTACTTGAGTTTCTAAAAAATGGGTATCTCAGGCTTGAAGGGGTTGTCCCTGATGATATTAACCAACGTGTTCTGAAGTATTGTGATGCAAATCCTGACCTGCTCTATATGAATGACATCTTATATAAGGAATGGTTTGTTGAGGGGGTGATGAGGAATACTGAAGTTGCAGGTGCTGTGCGGTCGTTGTTGGGCAAAGATTTCCATCTGCCTGTCCAGATGGTGAACCATCGTGTTGAATGCCCTATCGCATCAGTTGGGGGTTGGCATATTGATGGGAACTACAACTATACCCATGAGTTAAACTTCCTTCAGGTATTCTATTATCCACAGGACACACCCATAGAGATGGGGCCGACGCAACTTGTACCCGGCACACATCTTGTACGGCAGAAGTCAAGGTTAATGGGGCATTTAGGGAATATCAAGAACACAGTATCAACTGATGCGCCAGCAGGCTCTGTGTTCATCACAGTCTATCATATCTGGCATCGTCGTCCCGTCATCAATTATAACTGCAACCCGTAACTTGTTGAAGTATTTCTATTGGAGAACCAGTCCACCTGAAAGGGATTGGACGGTTGACCCTAACTTCGATTTTGCCACTGCTGACTATGACAGCCCTGCCTCTAGCCTTGTTGAACAATTCCGAAGTGCAGTGAAGGTGGCAGAGACGTTTCTATGGTTATGTGGTAAACATGAGATATTCCAAAACTTAGGGGGTCAGAGCTTTCCATTACCTGTACCCCGAACTGATTTGCCCTATGGGTTTCCCGAAGGGTTGAAAAGGGAGTATCCATCAGAGTAGCTGCTATTGTCGCATGTCGAGTTGATAGTATTGTAGTGCCCCAGTCGTAATTGATGTAAAAGGTTTGCCGTCCCATGAGGCGGCAATTGTAAAAAAATAGTTGTTGCATTAATATTGAAATTGTGCTACTATTCGATTTTAATATTATTATCGAAAGGAGAACGGCTTTCCAGCAGAAGTTTTTACGCTTAATAATCAAAGCCGCGACAGCGTTTCTATGAGAGTAAATGAAGAGATGTCGTTTTGGGACAGGCTTTATATCCCTGGACTTATTAAGGGTATGCTCACGACACTGAAACATATCCCCAAGAGGAAATTTACTTATCAGTACCCCGAAGATCCACGTAGTGTTGAAGAGCGCAATGATCGCTATCGTGGCATCCATAAGCTGCCGTTAGATCCGGAAGGCAATGTCAAATGTGTGGCATGCTTTATGTGCGCAACAGCCTGTCCGGCAGACTGTATCACCATTCAAGGCGGTCCTGCACCCGAAGGCTGGAAAACGAAAGAAGGTTATCAACGCGAAAAATATCCCGAAGTTTTTGAGATCAATATGCTGCGATGTATCTTCTGTGGATATTGTGTTGAAGCGTGTCCAGAGGATGCAATCCAGATGACAGGGATTACACTCCCGCAATACTTTAGAGAAAGACAAAAAGAGGGTGAAGTTCTCGGCAGTTCGCGGAAAGATTTCATCTTTGATCAAGAGATGCTGATAGCTAATAATGACATTCCCGAACAAGGACTTCATCCGGATTCGTAAGTACCCGAACATGAGTTTACTTGGGGTGGTGGCAACCCACTAAGCGCGTGGGTGTAGATTCTACCCGATAGAATGTGCAGAGATTTTTATCAGATACTTAAACAGAAAGTACGCACATCTTGATATGAACTTTTAGGGCAAGGCTTTCCATACCTCTGAGGTACAGTACGGGAAAGAATTGCCCATTTTTTGTTAAATGTATTTAGGAAATGACTTTGGACAAAGACCAACCGAATCAGATTCAAGACCTATCCCTAAACTTTAGTTCAGATTCTCTTTTCGCTTTAACAGATAAGATAAAAGCGAGTGCTGAAGGACGGATCAGTTGGGGTGACACCTTTGGAATGGGGCTTGGCGCGAAGAATGACAAATACTTGCTCATTTGGACGCCAAAGAAATCGTCCGAAGGGCAAATCCTCCCCGGCTTCGACTCAGAGGACGGTGAGCTCACACTCAAAATGAGACCGAGACCCGGCGCATGGATTTCTTGGGTTGACGAAGCCAAAGTGGCGACGGAAGCGAAGGATGACCATGATCGTGTTCGCAGGAGTGTGCAAGAGCTGGAGCGTAACACGCGTCAAGTGACAGACTTCGCTGATGGTGTTCTCAAAGATATCATCACCGTGCATCTAGGCGAATCCCTCACGTTGTCAGAGATGGTGCAAGAGGTTTTGAAAGTTGAGTTCACAATACCAACCACTGTCAAAACCGGCGGATATGTCCTCGCATCATCTCAAGAAACCGCATCCGGATTAGCGAAGGTCATTATTCCAGAACAGACGAATATTCACGGTGTGCATCTGAACGAGGATGAGCTGATCGATTCAGTTGCCAACAGTGACTACAATCGGCTCTTGGTTATTCATCGTACGCACATCAAACACTATCCCGATCTGCTCGACGTTAACTACTGTTTAAGGCTTAGTGAGTATTTCCAGGGTAAACCGACACAGGAAGAGGAGGGGCAGAGCAAATTGCCTCAGCCTGTACAAGGCTTAAAACCGATAGGGATATTTCCAACGGCGGCAGTCTATAATCCATTGTCTCCGGACAGTATCGAATTCGTTGTTACCGCTCTCAATGGTGACTACGATGCGATCCGTGAAGCCGTTACCGAATCCTCTGCGATTATTGATGAGTACGTGTCGCAGGCGAATCAACTTGCACACGAAATCATGACGAATTTCCAAGGGCGTATTGATAGTCGGCTTCAAGCACTCACACTCCAACCGGGTCAACGGATTTATGAGAGGGTTTGGGATGACCTAGCAATTGACGAGCTGCGAAATCAGCTATTTGAAATCAGCGAATTTTTTGGCAAATATATCGGTGAACACCTAGATGAAGATAAGGTGGAATCTAGGAAAGAATCGCTTAGAAACAGTATTGATTCAATCATCGAAACATGGCAACTTCAGGACTCGCGCCAAACCACTATCAGACACCTCATCCTAGCTGGCTACAAATTGGCGAATCAAGTGCTGGATCAAGCGACTGGACTTTTCTACGATCTTGTATTTGAAAAGCACTTTATTGAGACTGGGCTGCTTCGTACAGTTGAATTGATGGTACTTGAGGAGGGGGAACTGCTAGATGAAATTCGCTTGCCAGAGTGGACAGACAAAACAGTACGCGACCGAATTTACCGCCTTGCGTTGAATCCGACTATCCATCCCAAACAGATTGAAAGGCTTCGGGACTTATGGGTAAAATTGCTAGAGATTGCAAATTTTGCGGACAGGCATCAGCAACAATTTGAATCCATTCTCAAACCGCTGTCTGACGTTCTGTTAATGCCTAAGGATTTTGCTTCTTCAGGGGGGAATGCGGGGACACGCAACATCTCGCTCCGAAGAGGGAATACGTTTGAAGGATTTGGAATTTCGGAGAAGATATTTGAAGATGTCCTGAATCGCCTCCACGACAATTTTCCTGTGATTAAACGTTGGATTCAAAATACTCCTGAAGAACGGAGCGGACATGAACCCTATTATAGGACATTATGGACAATACTCACCGAGGGGCTGGTTCGAGAGCATCTTTGTGAAGATTTTCAGCCAATTTTCGACATCAACCTCAGTCTCCCGCTAGAAACGAAGAGGCTGATGGACCTTGTGCTTGGTGGAAAAATTGTTATACGCAATGAGAAAGATTTAAACACTCTGAAACGGAATCTTGGTCGTGCCTTACAGGCGAAAATTGGTCGTGGGCTACAGGAAATTAGTACACCTGCTATGCTGCAAATTCATAGCGATACCACCTTGTGTACACTTCGCGAGGAATTGCTAACATATCAGCAGACGCTTGATAAGCAACTTGCCCGCGCAGCGAATCCCAAAGCCTCCAAAAAGCAGGGCAAAGGGAAAAAAGGGCGGAAAAAGGGACAATCCCCCGAATCCGCTATAAAAGTGATAGCGGCAATTGAAGAGGAAAAACCGAAGATCGCTGAACTTATAGAGTTCCTGAATTCCTATACCAATGCGCCATTAACGCTGCTGGAGACAGTGATAACTCCGCATTCTCAGCAAATCAATCAGATACGGGAGCATCAAGTACTGAATTTCGACCTGCAATCGCTGCCGCCCATTGAAGATACATGGCTGGAGGATGTGAAATCTCCGGATGAGTATCCGAATTTGCGTGCATTTCTGTTTGAAAATAAGTTGCCTATCTCCACCACCGGGCGCGCATTGACGAAGTTGAGAAGGATTTTTCCTGACCCCATTGGTGCGGGGGATGCTTCGGTGAATGTGTTTAATATCGCCGTAGATCTACTCCTAGAGTTAAGAGTTCTCCAAGACGCCGGCTATGAAGGCGATGCGCTGCAACAATATGCAGGCTACATTTCTGAAAAGTTATGGCGATGGGAACTAACACAGATTACAGAAGCAGAGTTGCCAATCCTGATCAAAGAGAAGGTGTTATCCTCGCTAATCTGTTACGAAAAGGAGGTCGAAGCACTCCTAGAATACGTTGAGCGCTACGAGCGGTTATTAGAAACAAAGCTTGCTCCTGAATCTGAGATGAATAAACAGCGCGAATTGCTAGAAGAAAACTTCCAGACGCTGATTCAAACGCTTTTATGAGCCTGCTTTGAGACGGTTTCAAGCCCAACTGTTGGATGGTCGCCATTGAGATGAAGATAAGCCTCCTCGGAGGGGGAAGTTGTATTGCTCCCTGTTGCATCAACAGTTTGTCACTTAAACCTCTTCTCTGAAGTCGTTTGGGTAGACGATAAGCCAGTGCCACTCCGCGATACGCTGCAAGATCTGAAACAAGCAGTTGCAATTGGAGGAGTTGACACTGAACTGCGCGTGACTCACGATTGGTCGGCACTGGCAGGTTCACAGATTGTAGTTCTACTTCCCCACGCATCACGCCCTATTCAAGCACAACGCCGATCAGCACAACATTTTGCTCGGCACATCAAAAGTCATGCACCGAAGGCACGAGTCATTGCCGCAATGCCTTCAGCATGTTCGCTCGCTTCTTACGTTTACCGTGAACTTGAGGCGGAGGCAAGCCAAGTCATTGGCTTTCTGGTGGGATAGGGTGTGCGTATCTGAAAGCCCAAATTGCCCATCAACTGAGCGTTTCTGTGCAAGATGTCACAGTTCTTGCCATCGGGAATGACGAGACAATCTACCCGCTTCCGCAATACTGTCGTGTGAATGGTATACCGTTGGGAGAGTTACTTAGACGCAAGGGAGATTGATGCGTTGACGGAGGCGGTGCAGGACACGCATAAGAAATCTAGCACCATAGATGCGCCATATACACTATCTGCTTGGATCTCACAAATTGTCACAGCAATTGCCCTAGATAAGAAGCGAATCATGTGCGTCAGTTCCCTGATTCAATCGAGCACAGCGCAAGTTTATCTCAATGTTCCGACCCAGGTTGGTCAGGGTGGAGCGGAATTGACGCTGCAACTCGATTTGACTGACGTTCAGCGGGAACAGTTCACCCAATTGGTAGCAAAGAGCGTTAAAGAACAACGAATATTTTAGCTGACCTGATGCGAGGGGAAAAAAAATGAGAGAGATATACCAAAAAGTTATAGAACTAATTGAGTCCGAAGAGATGGGTGCCTATTGTACAGTTGTAGAAACGAAAGGATCTACGCCACAAAAGCCGGGGGCTAAGTTGCTAATTTTGCCAGACCTGCGCAATTTCGGGACGCTCGGCGGCGGCTGCGTGGAAGCGGAGGCACGACGGCAGGCAATCGGGTTGATGCAGGGTGGCGTCCCACGTCTGCTCGATTTTCAGTTAGACAGCGACTACGGGTGGGACGACGGTCTCATTTGCGGTGGGAATATGAAGATTTTCATTGACCTACCCCAAACCAAAGAGGAGTCATTGATATTAACCCGATTGCAGGAACTCTCGGAAGCAAAAATTCCCCTCGTCTCTACTACGGTGGTTCAAAGTGAGGTAGACCATATCCAAGTTGGCGCGAAGATGCTGTTCGCAGCGAATGGCGAAAAGGTCGGTTCGTTGGGAGATACGGCGTTGGAGGCAGCAGTCCAAGATGAACTGATGGAGGTCCTAGAGAAGGATGCGCCCGGTGTGTTTCGGTGGCAGGTCGAAGACTCTCGGAACGGAGAGGGGGCAGTTTGGGTTTTCATGGATGCGGTGCAGCCACGTCCCACGTTGCTCATTGCCGGCGCAGGACATGTCGGTCAAGCCCTATGCCATCTCGGAAAATGGCTCGGTTTTGACATCGCAATTGTTGATGACCGTACTGATTTCGCCTCTGAAGAACGGCTCCCCGAAGCCGACGAGATCATCATCGGCGATATTGCGGAGGAGTTGCGTAAGTATCCCGTTGACCATCTGACTTACGCCGTCATTGTTACACGGGGACACCAGCACGATGAGGAGGCACTCCACAGCGTCGTTGAGTCAAATGCGCGTTATGTCGGTCTAATTGGCAGCCGTCGGAAGATTAAGCTGATCTACGATGATTTGAGAGACGCGGGGATCCCCGAAGAAAGACTAGCAAAAGTGTACGCGCCGATCGGATTGGATATCAACTCCAAAACGGTGCCGGAGATTGCCGTAAGCATCGCTGCGCAACTTATCCAGGTCCGCAATAGTATAAAGCCAGACCTCCACTTTGATGCACAGCCGGCGAGAATGCCCACGATTAAGGTCGGCACGTAACCGTCTACGAGGCAGAACGATGGTGACAATTCAGTTAGATGGCGACAAAAGCTACACCGCAAAAGAGGTTACTGAATTCGCGAAACTCGCCCTAGATTTTATCGGGGAACAGGGATCTGACAGCGATCTTCAATACGCTGCAACAGATGTCTACTGGACCTTGCGAAACCTGCTTGACTACGTGAACCGACAGGCGGGTGGAGAGTTTACCCTCAAACGTCTCAGAAAAGGTTCGTGGGGACTTGAGTACAACAAGAAAACATCGGCAAAACGCAAAGCCGATGATGCTGCGCACCGAGAGGTTAAACGCACAGCGGAATATCTCGAAAAACTGAAAACTCGCCGTTCAACTTGGGAATAAACTGTTAATGGCCTCCTGCCCCCGTAAACGGAGCATCCTATCCCCGTGGGCGGGGCATCTTGCCCCGCCAATCCGCTACTCCACCTTAAATTTACACCATCAACATGGGTATGTGTAATCCGGTTCTGGGGATGAGTTCCGTCCTGCGCTCATGGCACCCTCCCATCTCCGTAGGCGCGGGCATCTGCCCGCCACCTGCACGGATATGTACCCCTTCTCCTACTTGACAATTACCATCCTCCGCGTGGCGGAAAAATCACCCGCTATCAAGGTATAAAAGTACACACCATCTGCACCCGCGCACCGACTTATTTCTCCCATCCCAGTAGATGCCTTCGACCGCTTCTCGTAGGCTGATGCAATTCGATGCCCACGTCAAGCTACGGACAACCGACCGCTTAGTCATAGATGCGTCAAGGTGACAAAAGCATCCTCCGCCAACCGATATGGAATCATGCCTCTGGGTTAAACGGATTTGCGGATAGTTGCAAGCAGCTGCCCGTCTCCCGTGTTAGGGATACCAAGAGTTGTCAAGGCACCACAGACCCCCGCTTCGTGATGGGATTCTAGCTCAAGTGCTCTTGCGTCAGTGCCAACCACTGATGAACCTCTACCGCTGTAAGCGTCTTCAATCGCGTCGGTACCGTCTGTCTGATGTGCGTGAGGTGCGGCTCTGCTCGAGGCCCCATCAAACATGCCGTCAACCTGTACGTATCAAGTCCAGGACAGATTGACAATCCCATCTCTGCTACATCATCCGCTGCTGAGATGGTCCGGCATTCCGAGATCGGACGCAATCAAGCACGCGTACAACGCCCAAGATATTTACGCTTCCGTCGCTGTGCATCTGCTCAGGAGTAATTGGTAGTGATCAGTATCGGAGATAGACGTGAAAGGTAACTGTCCCCTCAATCCGGTGGCAGATACCTCGACGGTATGTTGTGTGCCCAGATTTGGTCCCAACGTGAGCGTACTCTGTGCTCACTGCCGTTTTCAGTGGCCTTGTGAGTGTCAGGTACTGAGCCACACCACCACCTGCGGTAACGGCAAAACTCACCGAAATCCCGACCAGCGCAGAAGAACCGTGTTCATCTGTGCTTCAACAACAAATGGATGAGACAGCGATGCGTAGGAGCGTCCCTTGCTGGTGATCACCTAAGATTCTAAGATTTTTAGAAGTGCCGCGGGATGCGCTTGGTCGTCAATTCTACTGTATGTAACCCCTCTGCTTTGGAGAGTTGGAATGTGGTTTTGGATTGATAGGTAAACTGAGAGGGTGTGCATTGTCAGCAGACTTGGTCTCACATTCCCCAATCCGTATTGGCTACCAAGGGTGAGAGGTCGTGTAATGCTGTGCGCCATCCTACAACGCCAGTTCATGTCAAACTGGGTCAAACTTGAAAGTGCCGAGATGTCCGATATTAAGGTGCGGTCAAGACGTAGTGCTGTCAGATTCGTTAAGCCTGCCAAGCCGAGATATCCGATATTGAGTTGTTGGACAGACCTAGGCGTGTCAGTGTGGTTTTAAACCTGCAACGGGGTGAGATGTCCGATTAGCGACGTTGCCGTCGAAAATAACAAACCACAGCGCGCTATCAGATGGTTGAGCCCGCCAACAAGCCGGACACACATCCGAATATTCGTTATTGCTTGCGAACCCCAGATGTATTAGGTGAGCTAAGACCCGCCACAGGTGAGAGGTTCTGACTGATGGGCGAACTTTTCCAAAAATCCAGATATTATACTGATGGTTGCATGTTCAAAGTCACCGGTCAAATCGCGAATATCGCCTCGATGCTTCAAGGCGCGTCAAAGTCTGCCATCTCCGCTGGGGCGATTGCGCCATCACCTTCTGTTACCAAGAGCGATCTCACCGCAGCGCGAAGGGTTAGGGTCGTGTATTCTATGATGTCCACGACCGCAGCCCCCGCCACGGCGCGTTAACAGATCCACCGTCTGCCCAATTACCAAGCTGGGGGGGGCGGGGGCATGGAGGAGGAAGACAGCGAAGCAGTCAGAAGCAGACACCCAGACCCCACAAGAGTAGGACACGGGGCACGGAGAGCCAGAAGGGAGAGAAAGGACGAGGATGGCAGTAAGAGTCAGGCTGAGAAGAGGGAGCACAGAAGAGAGGAACAGGAAGAAAGAGAAGAAGAAGAGGCCAGACAGACAAGACAAGAGCAAAGGAAGGCAGAGACAGAAGAGAAGAAGCAAGAGCCCACCAAAGAGAAGCCCCAGGCCCCAGAAGAGGAAGACAGAGACACCCAGAGCCCAGCAAGCAAGAAGCCCCAGGCGGCAGACACAGAAGAAGAGCACAGCAGAAGAGAGAGCCAGAGAGCCAGACAGAAAGAAGCAGCCAGCAGAGACAGAGGAGCAAAGGGAAGAAGAAGAAGCAGACAGGAACCAGACAGAGAAGAAGAGAGGAAGAGAAGAGACAGAGACCCAAGCAGAAGAAGCAGACAGGAAAGAGGCAAGAGACAGAAGGAGCACAGCAGGAGACAAGAAACAGACAAAGAAGAAGGAAGAGAAGAAGAAGACCCAGAGACCAGACAGGAGACCAGCCACGCACCAGCCCAAGAACCAAGGGAGAAAGAGCAAGAAAGACAAGAGGGGAGAAGAGTACAGAAGACGTGAGAAAAGAGGATAGAAGCAAGGGCTACACATGTGAGTGTCTATAGGAGGGGAAAACAGGCAGCCCGTTTCAAGCCACCTGGAGGCAGAAAGGTGACCGCCAGTCCACTGAGAACGGGTATATAGAACAGAAGGAAGGAAGGGTTAGAATTTTATAAGAAAAGAGCAGACACCTCGACAGCGTTTGTCTCCCAATTACCTGTCCCAGACAGTGGAGCGTGTTCTGTGACTGCGATACCATTTTTATCAGTCGTGGGCGTGCTTTACATTGGGTACTGGAGCCGTGCAACCGGCCTGCCGGAGATAAACTGACCGAAAATTACCTTCACGTGCCAACGAAACCGTGCTCACTCCAGAAACTTCGATGACAAATGGGGTGTCTGTCTCTCGTAAGGGACAAGGTGGAGACACCCCTTGATGTCGCCTGAAAATTTTTGTAAAGTCCGGGCGTTGGATTAAGGTGTGCAGTAGCCACTGTCACACAGCGCTTTAGCGCCCGTCTGCTCATGCGGCATATGGAACACACGTGTGGGATCCTGCACGTTGGCGTCTTTAATCAGCCATATCATTGGTGCGTACGGGTCGCCAATATTTATGAGCAAAC